TAGGCTGTGATAGGACATTTAGAGTATAAATTAAGGACCGTAGGCTGTGATAGGACATTTAGAGTATAAATTAAGGACCGTAGGCTGTGATGGGACATTTAGAGTATAAATTAGGAAATTGCTGGACTGGTAAACTGTTGTTAAAACAAATCATTCTTGAAGGAATACACTTTCATGAGTTTAATTTTGCCTTTTAATAACTGACTTATTTTGCTTCTACTTTTGAATATTGAGAATGAATGCTCTTTTTGAAAACTATATCTATAACTTTCTTCCAGTTGTGAAGTTATCCGGGACTGGAAGACAGGAGAATCTCTCTGTTATGCCTTCATTGAATTTGAAAAGGTATGTTACAACATAGATGTGTGAAATTTGGGATTTGTTTTGTTCATACATCATGTTAAAATTTGGAAAGTTATAGAACTTCCAGCCTCTTAGATTGGAAAATTAGGTTGTCCTCCCAGGATGGTGCAAATGATTTGCATTCAGACTACTAACCCAGTGTTTGGCCTTTCAAATCCAACCCGCGGTGCCATGGACAGAAGGCTTAAAGGTCTGCTTCCATAAAGGTTACAGCTAAAGGAAACTCTATGGAACAGCTCTGGGCTGTAACACAGAGAGTGGTCATGAGTCAGAATCAGCTCAACAGCAGAGGGTTTCTTTAGTCACCTGAGAAAAATAATTTTATAGTATTCAAATAGGAGGTATATTCAGTATGCCTTTTTTCCCTTCACATTCAACACCTCTTGATGTTAAGGTATGGTTCTTTACTTTAGGTTCAGAAGCAGCCTGCAGGAATGTGTCTTTAGAACTTTTCAAGTTTTAGACCAAGTTCTTCATATTCTAGTAAAGATTCTAGTGTTCTTTAGGTGGTGATCTAATAGAGTGATAGAGAACTGGGCTGGGTGTTAAGATCTAGATGTTAACCTAAACTCTTATCACTGACAGGTTTAGATACTTGGCAGTTTATTTAATTCCTTTTAGTTCTTACCTTCCTTATACATAAAAAGTGGACACTAGATTAGATGGTCCCTTCTACCTCTGTAATAATGATAATCACATATGCTGCTCATATACCGACTCTTAAGTCAGATTATTATCGTATTCCACCTGCAGATAGAACTCACAACTCTGATTTAGGTACAGTTTTTCTTTTCTAAAAAAAGTAAACTGTGACATAGTGGTAATGTGACTTGTTCAAAATCATGTACCTGGTGAATGTCATACCTGGGATATGACTGTGACTATTGCTTTTAGTCTCTGTGCTGTACATTTCTTTTGTTGCTGTTGTTGTTTGTTTCTTTGAGCTGGGGGGATATGTACATAAAAACACTCATGATATATAATAATTTGAACAACTAAAGGGCACATTCTACAAGCCAGCCTCCTGGCTGTCAGCAAACAGCCTTTCTCTTTCCATGAGTGTAGAGTCCTCAGCTGCTCTATCTCTCCATGTCCACATCTCTGCCTCCATCTCTGGTGTTGCTGCTTCTCTGGATAGCGTCCCATATTCCACTCATGCTCTTCTCCACTGATGGTCCTAGGGTCCTCTACTTGCAAGATTCCAGCATTGCACGAATAACTGCTCCCCTGTTTTGTTACGAAACTTTTACCTTTACAGTTGTGACAGTTGCGATTAGTCATGATAACAATTACTATTGAATCATAAGAATCTTATCCCCATCTCTTTTTACCAGATCCATCTAGACAAGATGAAAACTATTCAGTGGGGACTCTTATCTTCCCCCACACACTCTTAAACTAAACTCCCCCTTGAAACCTTGTAAACCAGTCACTTCATGCCTTTACTGCCCCACCATTTTAGGTAGCCAGTGTCTAAGTTGCCTGTCCCTATCTACCTTGTATACAGTGGGGATAGCATTGATACTTGATGTGAAGACTCCTTCCCTCTCTGTTGGCATTTTGAGCTACTACCTCCATGAGTATTGGTCAGGTTCATCAAATTGTAGCAATTTAATTTTGTTTCCTTTATCAAAAATGGTTTTCTTTTTTTATCTTCCTCTAGTTGAGTTCTGATTATCAAGCCATTGAGTCTAGGTCAAATGGGCACTATCTGCAGGTTTGGGTGTTCTTGTGCATCTCCTCTCACTTCATATCAGCTGAATGCTTCACTCTCAGTTCTAGCCCTCTGTGACTGTGTTGTTGTGCATGGGCTTAGGTGTCCTTAGGTCTCACCAAACTTTGGACCAACCAGCCCTTCCTCTTCTCTTTCTCATTTCCAGGTCAATGGGAGTCTATGGAATGTGGTTGAACTCAACCCATTTCTTCATTGCTGCCTTTCCCCCTCTTCCACTCACCAGTAGACCAATGAGTTATTTAGCAATGTGTTCCCATTTGAGTTTCAGTCTTAGAGGGGGTGCATAAATTTTGTAATCAGCTTGTCAATTTTGAAGAGATATCTTAGCTGTTGTCCACGTATAAGCAAATGGTGAGCTTGCAAATGTTATTCTCATTAAAAAATGATCTGAGAACTTTCTCCTTGGAGAAATGGTTCAGGGATGGATTCTGTCTGCCAAAGTACAAATAAGAAGATCCATCAAATATACATTGATGGCATATTATCTGCCAGGTGGCTTTCTATTGTAGAACCAGTGAAAGTTGGACCTGGTGTAAGCTGGAAATCTGTCAGAGAAGGAAAATGACAGTATTTTCCACTAATAGAGTGATAGAGAAGTGGTAAGACTGCTTTTTTACGATAGAAAACTGATGAGACCTGGGAAAGAAGGCACTCCGGTCATGTTCCAGTTCCCACAGGTGTCCTTATAAATGATGTAGGAGCAAAGCTGGCTAGCACTGTGTCTTGTCATGAAGGAACCCTGGTGCTACTGTGGTTTATGCATGGCTTGTTAACCGAAAGGTGGGTGGTTGAAACTACTACTCTGTGAGAGAAAGACAAGGCTGTCTGCTCCCTTAAATACCTGCCTGTGGAGCACTTCTGCTCTGCCCTGTAGGTTCTCTGTGAGTCACAATTGACTGAAGGACGTGGGTTAGGTTTTATATCGTCATGGATTTATAATCCATTTAATTCCTAACACAAGATTTTTGTTGTTGTTAAGTGCCGTCAAATCGGTACCAATTCATAGTGACCTTATGCACAACTGAATGAAACACTCCTGGATCCTGCCCCAACCTCAGTCGTTGCTGTGCTTGAGTCCCTTGGTTCTCACTGTGCCAATCCATCTCTTTTTCACTGACCCTCCACTTAATTAAGCACGAAGTCTTTCTCTAGGCTACCTTCTGATAATATGTCTGAAGTATAAGAGACAAAGTCTCTCCATACTGGCTTCTAAGGAGCGTTCTGGCTGTGCTTCTTCCAACACAGATTTGTTTGTTTCCTGGCAGTCTGTGGTATTTTTAATATTCTCCTCCAATGCCATAACTCAGATGCATCAATTCTTCTACAGTCTTCCTTATTAACTGTCCAACTTTCACATGCATATTAGGCTATTGAAAATACCATGCCTTGAGTCACACACACCTTAGTCTTAAAGCTGACATCTTTGTTCTTGAATGCTTTAAAGAGGTCTTGTGCAGCAGATTTGACTAATGCAATATGTCATTTGATTTCTTGACTGCTGCTTCCGTGAGTGTTGATGGTGGATCTGAGCAAAAGGAAATCTTTGACAACTTCCATCTTCTCTCCGTTGATAAGAATGTTGTTGATTGGTCCAGTTGTGAGGATTTTTGTTTTCTTTACATTGAGGTGCAATCCATACTGAAGGCTGTGATCTTTGATCTTCATCAGTAAGTATTTTAAGTCTTCTTTGCTTTCAGCATATCTCATCTGCACATGGCAGGTTGTTAATGAACCTTCCTCCTAACCTGATGCCATGTTCTTCTTTATAGAATCCAGTTTCTCAGATTATTTGCTCAGCAAACAGACTGAATACGTATGGTGAAAGAACACAACCCTGGTGCATACCTTTCCTAATTTTAAACCATTCGGTGTTCCCTTGTTCTGTTCAAACAACGGCCTCTTGGGCTATGTATAGGTTCCTCATGAGCACAATTAAGTATTCTGGAATACTCATACTTCACAGTGTAGTCCATAGCTTGTGTTGATGCACTCAGTCAAAAGCCTTTGGGTATTCAATAAAGCACAGGTAGACACAAGGTAAATAAATGTTATTATAACTATTTCTTTTATCTGCTCTATGAGTTGGCTTTAGTAAGGTTTAAGTAGACTTGAAAAGAAGTTTCCAGGAATACAGAAGAAAGTTGATTAGTGCCAGGTTGAAATGTGGCACTTCTTATCTTTAAAGGGCTGACACAGAGATACTTGTATAGCACAGACCTTGATATCACAGGTCCACAGTCTGATACCCAAACCCTTGAGAATAGCTGTGTTTCTGAATTCAGAATTTAATAAGGCAGTTTAATAACACACACAAACATCAGAATGTGCTCTAGAATACCCCTAGTGGACCCTAGGTCAGCATTCCATAATTAATTGCAAAAATATTCCTATAGTACAAAATCCATTGCCATTGAGTTCATTACGACTCATTCCAACCCTTTAGGACAGAGTAAGAACCCCATGTGATTCCCCCAAAGGCTGTAAATCTGTATGGAATCTTTCTCTTGTGGAGCAACTGGTGGGTTTGAACTGTCGACCTTTAGGATAGCAGCCACAGCAGTTAACCACTGTGCCCCCAATAAGCCATATTTCTATGGACTCCGAATATTCATGTGAAGTGAGATGAGCAAAAGTTATGAAAATAAGTTTCAGTTTTGAGGATGTTTCTGGATTTTGGAATTCCATAAAAGGGATTGGAGACTTGTCTAAAGTAACCTGTACATATGTCCACCTCCTCAGGTTATCTGTTTCAGTCAGGACTCTGACCCTTGCCATGTGTGATCTTTGGCACCTGTACCTTTTAAGCTTTTTTTCTCATCAGGAAAATGGAGATGACTTTTAATAGATCGCACCTCTGAGAGTTACTGTTAGGATCAATTGAGATAACACATGCAGATCAGAAGTAATAGCACACACTGTGCATTCAGAACTAGTTTTAGTAATGCCAGACTTGTGTTCTCTGTGTTTGATCTAACTACAGAGAGCTTTTCCATGAAGGTTTATGCTTGAGGTTTTGTAATGACTTTCAGAAAGCAGCCGTGGTGCCGCTGTGGGTTAGTAGTGTGACTGCTAACTGCAGAGTTGGTAGTTCAAGACCACCAGCTTCACTGTAGGAGAAAGATGAGGCTGTCTGCACCAGTAAAGACTTACAGTCTTGGACACCCTAGGTAGGGCTGGTCTGAGTTGAATTGATTGGCTGGCAGTGGGTTTTTTTTTTTTAGGAAGGAGCCCCTAGTGGCAATTGGCTGGTCATTGAAAGGTTTGCTTTTGTGAAGATGACAACTGTGAGAACCCTGTGGGACAGTTCTACTCTGTCCTGTAGGTTACTAGGAGTCGGAATTGACTTGATGGCAGTGAATTTGTATGTTTGATTTTTTTTTTAAAATCAGGAAGAAGATTGTGAAAAAGCCTTTTTCAAAATGGACAATGTACTTATAGATGACAGAAGAATACATGTGGACTTCAGCCAGTCTGTTGCGAAGGTTAAATGGAAAGGAAAAGGTATGTTGGTTCACCTCCCTTTGTTTCTGTTCTGTGTTGAATGCTTGTGTGTCTTCTCCCTCTCAGTCCTATCTTTGTAACCCACCGACCCTCTACAGAAATGATATTGCCTAAGTAGGTTCAATGTCTTTTATTTAGAAGATGACTTTTAATTGAATTTCTTCATGTTTTTGTCTGATGTAAAATGCCAAGGAGATAGATACTTCAGTTTCACATATGCCATTGTAAGCACATGACTTATATATAGTTCATACTAGTTTGTTTTGTGGTGGTTTCATATGTTATGAACTCACACTTTAAAACAGTGAATATATACTATGTGTCACTCACAGTACTAACTGTAATTAGTTAAGGTGATGTGCCGTGGAGTCGGTTCACACTCATAGCAACCCCGCACAGGGTTTCCGAGGCTGTAAATCTCTGTGGGAACAGAAAGCCTCATCTTTCTCCTGTGGAACAGCTGGTAGTTTCGAACTGCAGACCTTGAGGTTAGCAGCCTGACTTGATGTTGCTATTTTCAGTTTATAAATGAATGACTTTCAGAGACATGAGCTAGAGTGAGGATTTGAAAGTAGGACCTCTCATCTCACTTTGATCTGTTACTTAAGTGTCTCATTTACAGTGCGACGTCTAGTGACAAGCACACGGGGAACATTTTCTCCATGGTGAAACGCTGCATATTTGTTACTGTTTTCAGTTTTCTAATGCTTACAGTGGTCTGTTTCACATTTACCTGACGTATTTTCTGTAGACGACTTTGTTTCCAGAGCCTCTGGAATTGCCAAGGACGTTCATCTCATCTGTGGTGCTTGCCCCTTCTCCCGTTTTCTGTTTCTATTTTCCTCGTCCTTATAATAACTGTGCATAGAGAATTCACAATCAAAAGATCTCTTTGTATACCTCCAGTTTACTTGAACATTTAATCGTGGGCCCTTTTGTAGGCATTTCCTTCCTAGTGCTCGATGCGGGGAGGGGTAGGGAGGGTGGGCCAGCCAGTCAGGGAAGTGGGTAAGGAAGAACCCTCTCCTCTGCTTGGAGACTAGACTTGAGGGTAGAGAAGTGTCATTGAAGGCTCCTATCTTCCTGGCCTTGCTGTGGCCAGCTGTCTCCTGTCACATCTGGTCAGTGGATTTCTGGGCATGTCTTGTTCTCCCCTATCTGCTTGGTGCTCTGTTGAGATTTCAGGGCAGAGTATCTCTTTTGACAGGCCTTTAAAGCCTCATTTCTCTCAGAAGTATACATCTTTCACTTCTCTTAACTCAGGTTCTAGTCCCCCAGTTTTCTGTAATTTTTAATGGTCTCATTAGCTTTATGGCTCTACTTAAAATACCATATTCATGATTTTTTAGTGAATGTGTTCATTGTGTAATTTAGAATGTGAAAGTGTGGTGTTGTAATACTTGTGTATAGCATTAGGTGGCAGTATATGATCATCTGGAGTACTGGTATGGTGCTGTGGGATAAACACTCGACCACAAGGTGTATTTGAATAGCAAGGTTGGCAGTTCAAACTCAACAGCTGCTCTTTGGAAATCCCATATAGGGTCACTATGGGTTGGAAGCAACTCGACGGCACTTAAGAAAAGCAGTAACAACATATGGCCGTCTAGAAAAATGGAATCTGATTTCTAATTCACGCTCCATTAATAATGGAGAATGAATTGATAGGATTCTTTTTGTTCTCTTCTCAGCCTTCTATCCCCTGACATGTGAATGATTTATATACATGCCATTGGACGCCTGCTGTAGGATCAGCACTGGACTGGGAACCACAAAGTAGGCAGTTCAAACCCACCAGCTGCTCCTCAAAGCCCTAGTTATATATATCAGAACTGACTCAACAGCACTTAGCAACAACCACATTTCTAAAATAGCTCTTATATTATACTTCTTATAAAATAATAACTCTTCCTGATTAATTTGGTGACTTTTCTTACCATGTTCTTTTTTTCTTTTCTTAATAACAGGTGGGAAGTACACCAAGAGCGATTTCAAGGAGTATGAAAAGGAACAGAATAAACCACCTAGTTTGGTTCTGAAAGATAAAGTAAAGCCCAAACAGGAGTATCCTTAACAAAAACCAGTTAGTCACACGTAGTAACCATCCATTTTGTGTAGAGTGCTGATGTGTGGTACATTTAAAAAAGTCACAAAAGCTACAGAAGATAAAATTCCTGACTTGATTGTTTGTAGAGAAAGAATTAGGTTTACAGGCAGTACCTGAGTTTCGTAGGAGACCTGTTCCTAATTGTGTCTTTAAGAATGTGCCAGTCATTTGGACCAGGTGTATACAGTTCTTACCTAGTGCAGTTCCCGCCCACCAGCCGTTCTGTGGGAGAAAGAGGAGGCTAGCTGTTTCTGGAAAGAGCTCCAGTTTTGGGCGCTGGGAGGAACAATTTTGTTCTGTCCTGTAGGGTTGCTGCTGTGAATTGGAATAAACTCGGTGGCAGTGGGTTAGTGCAGGAAAAGGCTGGAAGCTTTTTCACTGATTTAAGAACTGCACCCGCCACAAGTGAAGGTGATTGTGATTGTGATGAGGAACTGTGAGTAGAGATTGGTTCCGAGTAGAGCTTGGTTCTGTGGTTTCAAAGTGAGGGCAAATTTGCATAACAAAGGGCAGATAGGAGTTGTCAGTCAGTCAGTCAATGGCATGTCAGTAACCCACCCCGGGACCTCCCGTATTGTTAGCACTTCTCACCATTTTAGGTATGCTTTGGTTTTTCATTATATTCTCCTTTGTATGGAGAAAGAACTGAAAGAAAAAGTTAGTGTGATTCCTTTATCTTCCTACTGTTAGGTTAAAATAGGTGAATACTTACCTTGCTCTCAAAAATAAATATTTTCAGGTAAGATTAGTGTTTTCTATTTATAGTTAATATGGACCCCTGGTAGTGTACAGGCTGCTAACATCAAGGTCAGTAGTTCAAATCTGTTAGTCACTCTACAGGAGGAAGATGAGGCTTTCTGCGCCCATAAAGATTTGCAGCCTTGGAAACCCTGTACAGGGTCGCTATGAGATGGAACCGTCTCCACGGCACACTACCACTACCATAAATAATTAATAGTGTTTTAAAGTCCTCAAAGCCAGTAAATTTCCTTATCACTGAGTAGATAGAGAACAAAATCCTGTAGTTTTTACAAAAGTAGGCTGCTGCTTGATGCATAGTACGTTGTCAGTAGTCTTTGTACAATTATTTACTGGCCTCCGATTGTGTGCAAGAATTGAATTTCTGAGGCTTAAAATGAACTGCATTGACTTGACCATGCATTTCAAGTCCTTCCAAGTTTTAGGCTAGGACAAGTAAGAAGCAATAAAACATGCTGTTCATGTTACGGCATTTTAAGTTTCTTCACCAATACTCTCATTATAAATCTATCACTCTGCACATTGCAAAGGTTATTTCTTTTGTGCCTCTTTCTGATCAATGGTTTCTTTGTTTTCTAGTCTCTGTTGGTGTTTCAGGGATTCTCTTTTCCCATACTATGTAGACATTTCTTTTGCAAGGATTCATCAAGAAAAGAGATGAGTGTCAGGTTGACATGTTACATTCTCATTTAAAAAAAATGTGTTGATTGTCTACACTGTGCGCAGTGTCAGGTGCTGGAACTGGATAAAGTCTGGAGTGTGCTGGTGTGTTCCTAAGGGAGAGGCTTTCATTTGCAGACAAGTTAAGATGTGGTCTGAAAAGAACACTTGAAGAGATAGGATTGAAATCTTAGAATTCTAAGGGGTGTAGGTGGAATACATTTGAGGTTGAGTTACTAAATCTTTGACACTAAGTTTAGGCTAACCACTAGTAGCTGCAGCTGGAAGAGGGGCAACCATAGGACAAAGGCAAGGAAGTACAGTTTTATCACATAGAAAACAGTAAGCTTTTTCCCCATTATAAGTAGTTCAGGCTGAAAAAGACTAAATCATGTTGAAATGTTTTAAATTCAAGATGTTAGGTTACTAAGAGTTAACAAAGGAAACTAGGCATTTTTGAAAATAACTGTGTTGTCCAAAGCTTCCCATAGAACTTTCTGCAGTGATGGAATTGTATCTCCACTGCCCATTATGTCTACTAAGCACATGTGACTATTGAGTTTGTGAAGGTGGATGGAGGGACTGGGTTTGAAATTCATTTAGTCTGGAGTTTCACAGCCACATGTGAATGTTGTTTTTAAGTGCCATTGACTGAGTTGAGGAGCACAGCTTTAGCCTTTTATAGAAAACAGACATGTTCTTGCCTCAAACAGAATGTTGGAGGAGAAAGAGGAAATCCATGAGTCTTACCTAGCAGTCTGGCCTTCTGGTGCGGTGCTGTAGGACCAGCACTAGACTTCAAACCACAAGGTCGGCAGTTCAAACCCACCAACTGCTCCTTGGAAACCCTATTTACAGTCGCTATGAGTCAGAACAGGCTCTATGGCAAATCTAGCAATATAGTCTTTTAATTTTTTTAAGGTTTTTATTGTGGATTGAGTGAAAGTTTATAGGGCAGATCATCAGTTTTACATTCCACAAATGAGATATACCGTGTTTCATTACAATGATTATAATCCTCTCCATGATAGTCTCCATGGACTATCAGTTAACAGTGTTTCTCTCTATTCACTTTAGTTTTTTTAGAAAAACAAAATACACTTAGGCATATATAAGAATTTACACCTCCAAAGGGCACTTTCTGCAAGTCTGCCTCCTGGCCACCGGCTCTTAGTCCCTCTCTTCTCATGAATCTATAGTCCTCAGCTGTTCCCCCTCTCCATTACCCCATCCCTGCCTCCATCTCTGGTGTCATTGCTTCTCTGGATAAGGTCCTGCATTCTGCTTGTGCTCTTCTTCTTTGATGGTCCTAGGGTCCTCTGTATCTGGACTGTAAGATTAACCACTCCCCTGTTTTTATTACAAAACTTCTGCACCTTTACAATTGTCTCAATTAGTCATAATAACAATTATTCACTATTGAATCATATGGATCTTATCCCCATCTCTTCACCAAGCCCATCTAGACAAGATGAAAACTATTCAGTGGGGACTGTCCCCATCCCCCCTTACCCTACACATACTCTTAAACTAAGGAGCTCTGGTAGCATAGTGGTTACGAATCGGGCTGTAAACTGCAAGGTTAGCAGTTTGAAACTACCAGCTGTTCCTTGGGAGAAAGATGAGGCTTTCTGCTCCCGTAAAGATTTATAGCCTCGGAAACCCTGTATGGAGTCTCTGTGAGTCGGAATCGACTCCACGGCACATAACATCAACAACTCTTAAGGTAAATTGTTACATTTTGATGAACCTGACCTATACTCATGGTGGTAGTTACTCTAAATACCAACAGAGAGGGAAGGAGTCTTCACATCAGGTATCATTGTTGTCCCCTCTATACACAGCATAGATAGGGATGGGCAACTTAGACATTGGCTACCTAAAATGAGAGGGCGATAAAGGCATGAAGTGACTGGCTTACAAGGTTTCAAGAGGGAGTTTAAGAGTATGCAGGACAAGGAGTAGCAGGTACAGAGCACACAAGAAAAAGACAGGACAGGCAAGGTTGTGGGCTTTGTGTCTGAATAAAGGGGAAATGCTGTGGGAATAGTGACAGTATAGAGGACAAGAGACATGGGAGACAGTGGAGGGAGTTCCTTTCTGTTGTACATAGAGTCGCTGAGTCGGGACCTCCTCCAGGGCACAAACCAACATCAAAACAGTAGGGTGACACGGGTTTTTCACCGTCTGGTTATAAGCTTGAGAGGACAATGTTTTTCTATTTGATTTTACAAGAAGGCAAGTTTCAAGCTGTGGCACTGTGAAAACAGTGTGAGGGAAGTGAGTCTGTGCTTGCTGCATTCCCACAAGCAACTGGACTAGCTCTGTGTGTGAACCTCCTCATGTGCTTTCCTTTGAAAACCACTGTTACAGGCTGGTCAGCCTTCCACAAAGTCCCTGTTAGTAGTTGAGATGATTTTCATTCAGCAGGGTTAGAATCACTGTGGTTTGTTTTTCATTTAATAAGGTATTATAGTATATTAGAGAAAATGCGTATTTCAGAATTAAAACAATTACACATTTATGTGATAGTGAAAAAAAATTAGTTCTACCACCTAGACAGATGATACGTTTATCGTATTCCCTTGGAGCCTGTATCTTTTATAAAGTTTTGTGAAGTTATAATCCTTGTATGATGTTTGTAATTTTGCTTCAAACTCTTGTCACTTATAATGTTTCATCCTTTTCTAGTTTTTCATTGTCTATATTGTTAAAACTTCCTTTATAATATTACAGTTGAAGTCCTATAATGGATTTAAGTTTGTCTTTATGATGAGGCATTTTGTTATTTCTAGTTTCTGTATTTAAAATAATCCTATTATGTGTAGGAATCCTGGTAGCACACTGGGTTAAGTATTGGGCTGCTAACTACAAGGTTGGCAGTTCAAACCCACCAGCCACTTCGTGAGAGAAAAGATGAGACTGTCTGCTCCTGTAAAGATTTACAGTCTCGGAAACCCGAAGGAGCAGTCCTACTGTCTCAGAGAGTTGCTATGAGTCAGAATTGGCTCATGGCAGTGGGTTATTATGTGTACCTTTGTTCATTTTAATTTAAAAAATATTCTTAGTAGAGAATTTTATAAAACCTTATTGAAAACTGTTGATATGTTTTGCTTAATTTTCTTGTAAATGACAACTAATTGCCACTTGAAAAAATCCTATGGTTGAATCTTTTCTTGTCTTACATTTCTGGCATTGAAGCTTATAGATATATTTTTTTTCTAGATAAGATACTACCTCATTTTCTAAGTTTGCATTTTTTTCATTACTGAGAAATATATTTTCTTTCTTTTTGGTACTTGTATTTTCATTTATGAATTTGGTGTTGTTGGGCCTCCCTCCCTCCCAATATTTTTTGCCCATTTGCCAATTGGTAACTGTTTATAGATCAGGGATCTTTCCATTTCTCTTGTTTGTAATCCAAGAAAATATGAAACTTACATTTGAAAATATGGAACTTAAAATGTGAAAATATCAAACTTAAAATTTTTAGCTTGAAAAGTTGTTGTTAAGTGCCGCCAAGTTGGTTCTGACCCATAGCGACCCTGTATAAGGTTTTCAAGGAGCAGCTGGTGAACTTGAACCACCAACCTTGCAGTTCAAATGACTTTGCAGTCTGACGCAGTAGCCCACAGTGCCACACCAAGACTCCTAACTTAAAATATGAAAGTATCAAACTTATATTTTTTAGCTTGAAAGTTACCTTTAGCCTCATGGCCTCCTTTGTTGACCAGATTCTTACCACTGTCTTACCAGTGGCTTTCTCATATTTGCCCTTGACTAACTGCTGCAGTGCAAAGTATGAGCTTGTATTGGATGATCAGGCAGAAGACTCAAAATCGAGTCACTCTCACACAAGTAAAAAACACAAAAAGAAAACCCGTCACTGCTCTGAAGAAAAAGAAGATGAGGACTACATGCCCATCAAAAACCCGAATCAGGTACCTATAATTTCCATACTGAGCTACGGAGAAATAGCTAGTCCTCAGAAATTTACATCCTCATGATGTCAGTTAGAAGGGAAGTGAACATGAGTGTGGGTATGTATATGCCTAACACGAAACTGTATAGTAGTCTTACAGGGGTAATGAACTTTATCATAAACTATAAAAGATTGTTTTTAAGTTACTTAATCGATCATTTGCCTTCCCATTGTGATGCCAGCATGGTTTCTGTATTTGTGGACACTCAATTTATTCCTGTCAAAAACAAGTGTGGTTATGTTCAAGAAGTTGTTCGTAATTTAATCTATGTATATAGTACTTATGTTGTTATTAAGTGCTGTTGAGTTGGTTCTGATTCATAGCGACCCTGTATAGGGCTTCCAAGGAGCAGCTGGTGGGCTTGAACTGCCGCCCCTGTGGTTCGCAGTCCAGCGCCACACCAGGAGTCCATAGTACTTAATAGTTCTTGAGAATTTTAGGGAGTCCTGGTGTGGTGCTGTGGGTTAATGCACTGGACTGCAAGGTCGGTTTGAACCTCAAGGTTAGTTGTTCAAACTCACCAGCCGCTGTTCAGAAATTCTATACAGGGTCGCTGTGGGTCAGAACTGACTTCAACAGCACTTAGCAACAGCACATTTATGTTCTTCCGTATTGTAGTTGGTGTAGCACTGTAGGGCAAACCCTAAGACTTCAAAGTCAGTTTGAACTGCAATCATTGACTTCTTGTCTCTAAAGGCCTTTTTCCTATTATGACTTAACGTTCCCAACCTCTTAATAGTACACTTGTCTTTGGAGTTTTGTTAATTGACCATGACAACAGAATTTTTATATTTTCCTGGTTCGTGTATGACTTTCCCTCTGTTTTTTTGACAGGATATCTACAGGGAAATGGGGTTTGGACACTATGAAGAAGAAGAAAGTTGTTGGGAGAAACAAAAGAGTGAAAAGAGAGAACGGCCACAAACCCGAAGTCGTAGCCGATCTCGAGAAAGGGATGGTCACTATAGTAACAGTCACAAATCCAAACACCACTCAAAGCCCTCTGAAAGAGAAAGGAGTGAGAAACCAGACCGCAGCAGGAGTCCAAAGAAGTCCAAAGATAAAGAGAAATCTAAGTACAGATGAAAGATGAAGATTCAGAAATGAGTGACTAACTGTTCAGATTCTGTGTCAAAGCAGTTAAAGACTCTTACTTTTTGTCCTAGTAGGAGTATGGCCCTTTTAGATTAATATTGGTTGTATAAGGCACTGAAAGTCAGTAAAGAATTTAACATTTTCTTTGTATCCATTTTTCTTTTCATTATAAAATGCAGTTTTTATTCTCTAGTTTTAATTACTATAAATAAGTGAAACGTACTTATTTACAAAACTTAGAGAGAGAGAGAGAGAGAGAGAGAAAACCCCATCGAGTTCGAACAGCTTCTTAAGTCCCACTGATAGCTTCTCTGCAGCCTTCTCTTGGCCTCTTTCCATGAGACACCTTGGTCTCAGGAGCCTCCTTGGACCTCTCCTTCACCTTTTCAGCATTGTCCGTTTCACCCAAGCCTTGCTTTTCTCACTCTTCAGTCTCTTTCCTGCACTTTGCAAACTTTGCTTTGAATTTCTGTGCGTTTTCAGCGTTTAGGAAGTGGGATGGCAAGCAGCTGGGGACTTGGGGTACTCATTGGCAGTCAGTGTGGGGTTCCACACCCAGGCTTGGTCACTGCCTGCATTGGGCTTTAACGTCATCAGTGGTGTGATACAGTGGTTGGCTTGTCCCTGCTCATGAGAAGGTGGATGTTCCCTTTCTCCTTATGCCTCAGGAGGTACATCACCGGTACCGTGCTCCTGTCACTAAAACGGTATAATTTTGTCTGCGTTTAAAAAAATTCCTCTTCTTCCTACAGCGCGTTAATTTCTTGTTCGGGAAGGGTTCTGGTTGAATGTCTACGCTTTTGGTGGTGTTCCGAACCTTGTGAGAATCCCTGATGGCTGTCTTGCAGGTACGACAGTGGCGGCAGCAGCGCCCTTACTGCAGGCTCTGCCTCTGGCTACCCGGCCTCTTAGCGGCTGCCTGGTCCTCGGTTCTTCCCTTTGCACCTGGCGCTGGTGCTTTCCGCCTGCCCGCTTTTCACTCTGTCTCTTTGTATACTTTTTAATACTAATTTCATTGTTAAACATAAATGATGGTCTTCATTTTAGGTCACATTTTCCGCTCATCTTGTTTTAATGAAAGATTTCACACCTACAAGAAATAAACATGTATATATAAGATATAAAAAATAATTAATACCCATGTACTCTTCAGCTAGTTTAAAAAATTGGGTATTACCTGTGTTTTAGAAGTCTCCATTATGTTGGCACCTCAAGAAATTATTCTGAATTTTGCTTGTCATTCTTTTGATTATTTTTATATATTTGCAATTTATGTATGTATTCATCAATGAAACATTGTTATGTTTTATATGTTTTTGAATTTTATATAAATGGTATCATATGTATGTTGCTTCTGTAGCCTGCTTTTTTCAACTTAGTATTTGCTTAACTGTTTGTTGTAAATTGAGTGAAGGTTTATAGAGAGAATCATCAGTTCTCCATTCAGCAAATCATACACTTTGTTTCTTCTCAATGATTACAATCCCCTCCCTGCAACAACAGTTATCCCACTTCCTCTCTGGGGTTCCTATTTCTGGTCCACCCACCTTCCCATTCCTTCTCATCTTTCGGTAAAAGCTGCCCTTTTGACCCTGAATAATTGACCTTTCCATGGTGAGCACATTTCACCAGTTTGGTAGCACATCCCATATCCCTATCTGTGGCTTGGTTGAAAATTGGGTCAGGAGAGTGGATTCCTTCCCAGACCTGAAGAGTGGTTGAGGGTCATAGCCTCAGGCTCTGCGTAGTAAGCCTGGTCTTTTTTTGTTTTTTCTTTTTCTCCACTCTACCTGGGACCTTCTAATGTGATCTCCTTCAGAGCCTTTGGTAGAGGTAGCCAGGCACCGTCTAGTTCCTCTGGTATCAGAGTCCTGGAAACTGATGTTCAAATGCTGCCTTAGTCTCCTGGACTAATTGATTCAGAGAAATCTTCAATTCTCATTGCTTTTCTTTCTTCCACCAATAGCTGCACTTTAGATATAGCTGCTTGTAGGCTTTTAAGATCCCAGTTGCTACTCACCAAAAGAAGATGTAGAACATTGTCTTTGTGGACTATGTTATATCAATTGATCAGTGTCCCCGGACACCATGGCCCTCAGCTCCCAGGTCCGGCAACTCATTGCCTTATCTTTTTTTCCCAACATTTTATTGTGAATTGGAGATCATCAGCTTTCAACCAATCATACACTTTGTTTCATCTCAGTGATTACTCTCCCCTCCCTGTAACAACAGTTATCCTGCTAACTCCCTGTGGCTTCCCTTTTACACCTTATTTTTCGCAAATGAATAAAACAAAAATACTTGATGTACACATACAACACAAAAAATATATCTTCATTTAAATGTCCATGGGGCACTTTTTGCAAGCCAGCCTCCTGTCTGCAGTCACACAGCCTTCCTCAGTCCATGGGCCTTGAGTCAGCTGCTCTATTAACCACTGCCTCTGCCACTGTCTTCTCCTGTCATTGCTTTTCTGGGCAGCATCTCACGCTCCACTCCTGCTTTTTCTTCTTGATGGTCCTGGGGTCCTCTGTTTCTGAAAGATGAACTCCTCTCCCCTTTTAGCTACACATCTACTACACACTTCTTGCAGTCACAATCCTGACAACAATAACAACAGAATCATGAAATTGTATCACCATCACCTGCATCCCCTTTCACCAGAGCTATCTGGAAAAGAGGAAAACTAATCAGGGGGTGTTCTATCTTACCCTCTTCATTCTGAAATGAAGCACACTCACGAAATCTTACAAGCCAAACACTTTGTGCCTTTATGTTATTGTTGTTGTTGTTAAGTGCCATCGAGTCGGTTCCGACCCATAGCGACCCTGTACAGGGTTTCCGAGGGTGTAAATCTTTACGGGAGTAGAAAGCCTCATCTTTCTCCCGCGGAGCGGCTGGTAGTTTCGAACCACTGACCTTAAGGTTCGCAGCTCGATTCGTAACCACTACGCTACCAGAGCTCCTTTAAGTGTCGTGAAATTGGTTCCAACTCATAGGGACTTTGTATAGGGTTTTTGAGGACTCCTGGTGAATTTGAACTGCTAGTTTTGTGGTTCAAACTAACTTTGCGGTCCAGTGCATTATTTTGCAGTGCTGCACCAGGACCTTTACAGCCCCCCATTTTTGATAACCAATGTCTAAATTGCCCATCCCTATCAACCCAGTGCACTGAGGAAACAACTTGATCCTTGATATGAAGAACCTTCCATTTCAGTTGGAATTTTGAGCAATTGCATCCATAGCAAAAGATCAGTTCATCAAATTGGAGTAATTTACTCTTGCTCATAATATCAAACTTCTGGTCTAGTTTGGATCAGATAACCATCCAAACTAGGTCAAATGAGTACTATCTGCAAGTTTGGGAGTTCATGCATGACACCCTACACTTCAGATCAGCTGTCTGCTTCACTCTCAGCTCTAGCCCCCAGTGGCTATGGATTCTAGAGTTCACACATCTCCCTCAACTTTACACCAGACAGCCCTTCCTCATCTTTCTCTCATCTCAAGGTCAATGGGTGTCAATGGAACATGGCTAAACTCAGCCACGTCTTCATTGCTGCATTTCCCCCACTTCCATTTACAAACTGACCAGGGTGATCACCAAAGTGTTCATGTGTTCCCTTTGAGTTTCAGTCTTCAGAAGGGGTCCCTGATGGGCTCACTTGTTTTGCCTTGATGGCTCCTAGGCAAACAGTTTGATATTCTAACATCCAAACAGTCTTTTTTTTTTTTTTTCTTTTCTACTGGTTTTTCTTTCAAAAAGCACTTTCTTCTAGAGGTTTCAGGTTTCAGGTTGGACTGCATGTCTTTTCAAGTGGGAAGGTCCCACCTTAGAAGGTTCTGGGTGGGGCTCTGGATTCCACCTAAGTACCCATACTCCACAAAGTTGTAACAAGAAACATTTCTCTGGGCAAATTCTAAGTCCCCTTTTTGCGAATCCAATCAATTGTAGGCTGAAGACAGATTTATAAGCTTTCTGTAATCCTAATTCCCAGTATTCATTTCTGTCACTCTTAAATGTATATCTTACAATAGTACATAGGGGAAACCAACAGTCACAAAACAGTCAAGCCCCCAAACATTTCCCCCTCCTTTACCCATTCAAACTATGTCTCAATCGCTGTATCACAGAGTACTGTTGTTCCGAGGTTGTGTATACATCACTATTTACCTCTATCCGTTTAGCCCAGGCATACCTCCCTAAGCCTTCCCCTATCTTCTAATTGTTCATCTACTACCCTCCCCCTTCTTGTATATTGCCCTCCCCTCTTTGTATATTGCCTTCCCCATTACCCAAGCTATCATGTGTCCACCCTTAATCCTGTGAATTACTTTCCCCTCCCTCCCACCCCTGGTAACCATCAAATAATTTTTCTTTTTGAATGGAAATCTTTTCTTAAGCTTTTACAATAATGGTATCGTGGAATATTTGTCCTTTTGTGATTGCCTAATTTCACTCAGCATAATGTCCTCAAGGTTCATCCATGTTATGAGGTAGTTTGCAGCTTCATTGTTATTCTTCAAGGTTGCATATTTTTTCCATTGTAAGTATGTACCAAAGCTTGTTTAACTGTTCTTCCATTGTTGGGTATTTCGGCTGTCCCCAACTTTTTGCTGTTTGTGAACAGTGCTGTGATGAACATTGGTGTGTATATATCTACATGTGTCCTGGCTCGTATTTCTTGTGGATATATACCAAGCAGAGAGATTGCTTGGTCATAAGTGTTGGGGTCTGACCTCGACATAGCTGTGTTGTTCACGAGTGTTTGGTTTACGAGGAGGGGAGATCCAGCGGCGATAGGGATAGCGAAAGAATACACAGACAAACAGAAGAAGGGAGACAATGAGGCACCCCAAAGCCAGGGTGGATACATCACTGGTGGGCAGGCTTGGGACTACGGCATCATGGCCTCTGCAGGCAGCAACTCACTGCCCTACAATCTTTACTGCATGCCTTCCAACCTGTAATGCCCTGCAATCGTTACTGCAAGCCTTCCAACCAGTAATGCACCGCAATC